CCGCTGCCCCCCCCGGGCCGTCCCTTCCGGCCCTGTCTCCATTGCCCTCTGCCGATGCCAGGCCCACCCGCGGCTAATCCTCCCTCTGCACTTGTGCATGCAGTTTCCCATGCTGGGTTGCCTAGGCGCCCTCTTCCACCAAGACTCCTTCTCCAAGACTCAATTATGCCCCCTCCTCCAGGAAGGCTTCCCTGACCTCCATCCCCACTTTAGGCCTATAGCTCTCAGAGGAAGAGAGCGCCCAGCCTGTGTCTTCCTTGGTCAGAGCCCAGGCTGGTGGCCCTCAGCCGCTTCCTGAAGCTGTTCCACCTGTGGAGGGTGACAGGCCCCTTGGAGAGGGACTGGGACTGTAGAGTGGGTGTCTTGTCAAACCCGCACCTAACCCAACAGGGCCCTGGCCTGCCTCTGAGCCTCGGTGGGCTAATCCATGCAGTGGCCTGACCCCTCCCACAGGGGAGGCCCCGCCAGCCAAGAGAAGGCCCCGGGCCTGGCTGGCGCTGTGCTCACTGGGCCTTCTCGACTTGCCCTTGCCCTCAGTGGCTCCCTTGGGGCCAGAAGCCTCAGGTCAGTCACTTTGAGAAGATGAGGGCATAAAAAGGCGGCCCACATGTTCAAAGGAGTCACAGCGCTCAGGGGATTCCCGCAGATGGAGGCCGCCTTCCTGGCCCCTCGCCAGGCCAGTCACATCTGCATCTTTCAGAGCTGGCAGTGCAGTTCCGCTGAGCCGGCAGCTTCCAGGGCTCTCCGGAGCCCCAGCCGCCCGCGCCAGCCGCCTGTAGGACCCTCACTTGCTGCCATTCACCCGTGGCTCCTCAGCGCCCTCTCCAGTGAACGCACTGTCTCAGCCTAGGCCCTGCGTCCTCCCACCCACTCTGTGTGCACCTGATCAAGACGGGGCTTTGCGAGGGGGCACTCTGAGCCACTCTCACCAGCGCTCTCCCCACCCACCAAGCAGGCCATCTGCCTCCAGACTGCACAGATCTGCTTTCTGAAGGCACAGGGCAGTACCTCCTCCAGGAAGCCTTCCTGGCCTTCCTCACCCCAGAGGCCCTTTCTCTGAGCTTCTGGACTCATAGCACTCCCTGCCTGGAGCACAGTGAGGGCCAGACCACTACAAGGCCTCCTGGCCCTGCCTTCGAGGGGGAGGTTCCAGAGAACCCCGTCTCCGAGGCAGGGCAGTCACGATGCCTCACACGCACATCTTTTGCTTTGCCATGGTGACCATGCTCAGGGCTTTCCAGGCCCAGACACTGCTGCTCCAGGGCGCTTGACAGATGCAGTCCCCCCATCGGGGATCTTCTGACCTTTGCACCCCATTCTGTGGGGGAAGCTGAGCTCAGGAAGGTCGTGTTACTCGCCCACGGCCACGTGGCTCATGGAATTAAACCCGGGCAGCGTCTGTGCTCTTAAGTATGACACCACGCTGTCACATGTGCACAAAAGCACACACACACATGGGGCATACACTCACACACATGCACTCCCACAGGACTCATGCTCACACATGCAGGGCCACATGTGCCTGTGAGGGATGTGCACTCACACACTCACATAGGTGCATGGGACACACACCCACGTGACGCACACACAGAGAGCACACACACACACCTGCCTGCATGTGCACACACAGCGAGACTTAGGGCTTACAGAAATCGGCCCCTCTGCAGCCGCCGCCCCTCCTCCACCCCCTGTCGCAGGCCCCTTACTCCTCCTTCTCCCTCGCTCCCCCTACCCCACCTGAGACAGCAGACGTCGCCCTTGTTGGCTCCTCCGCCTCCTGCCATGGGAGACAGCGCACACCGTCTCTGTGCCTCCCTTTCCTCTTCCATGACACGGAAACGGCACCGTTGACGAGGTGGTTTGTCTCGGGATGAGTTGAGCTGCCCGGGCAAAGCCCCCTGCCCCAGATGCTGCCCAGCACGTCAGCAATGCTTGAGAACTGCAGCCTCCTGTCTTTTCAGGCCTGCAGTTTGACGGTCAGTGTTTGTAACAGGAGCATATTTTGGGCTGTCCCCTCCTCCACCGAGTGGCTCATAAACGTATTCTCTACTAAAGAAGTCTGTGAACAGAACTTTCTGCATCCTGTTTCATAACTCAGATAGGAAAATGAGGTGCTGAGAGAGACCAGAGGGAAAGGGATTAGTTCTAACTGAAGGAAGAAGACTTCTAGAGGAAGGGTGTTTGATATAGGGTTTTGATGGATGAATAGGAGTCTGTTTCAGGCAGCTCAAGTATAAATGAAGAAAATGTCATTTTCATCAGGTGAATACAATGTATGGCTTTTTGTTCATGAGAATAGGGCTTTACCGGAAATAAAGACCCTTCAAAATGTGCTTCTTCCCTCCTGTTAGGCAACCTCAACCAACAGGACCAAATACTATGTCTCTTATCGTCGTAATGAATTTGTCCTGATGAGACTGCCGAAGTATGCATTGCCAAAGGTAAGAGCGACGCCCGTTCCCCCACATGTGGCCGGACCCTAGGCCCGCACTGTGGCAGCAGGCCTCGTTGCAGGTGCTCAGCGGCCCCCTGGCCAGGGTGGACGAGACCAGGTGTGGCCATGTTCCCTCCAACCACTCCCCCTCGCACCCTCCATTCCAACCAGCCCAGCCCCTTCCAGCCTTAGCTACGCCCAGTCTCATCCCGGCCTGGGACTCTGCCAAGCTCCGACCTCTGCTCGGTCTCTTTCCCCAGAGCTCTGGCACGTGTGACATTTGGAGAGAAGTGGCACTTCCTAGTGACCCTCCAGGCTGCCCAGCCTCTGCTTTCTGCTCCTCTCCCTTCACCTTCTGACGCTCCTATTCTGCCTTCTCTTCCCACCAGCGCCGCTAGGGATAGATGCTTACCATGTACTCACCTTTGCGTTTCAGCTGCCCAGTAAGGCGTCTGGCGCAGAGCACATGCTCAGTTAATGCTATTTCTTTTTCCTTTGCCTGTGCAGGCAAGAAAAGGGGACCTGGGGCTTCCGAAACGCTGCCCCTAGCCATGCCTCAGTACGTAGCTCCAGTCCCCACTCTGCTCATACGTTATTCCCATTTTAGAGAGGAGGGGATTGAAGTTCAGAGAGGCTGAGGAACCTGTTGGAAGTCACACAGCTAGTTAGAAACAAAGCAGGTCTCAACCCTAGGTGCAGGAGAGCCCGAGCCCAGCTTCCGCCACGTCTCCCTCCAGAGAACCTTTGGATGACGTGCGGCATAGTTTAGGAACGCGGCTGAGCCTTCCCTTCCCCGACCCACACATACATAGTGAGCGCCTGACTTCAGCTGGGAACCGTGCAGGAGGCGATGCAGTAGCTCAGTCAGATGCCCCGGGTGCTGCTCCTGTGAGGTTTCAGAAGGAACGGGCAGAAGACCGAGTGTGACATAACTGCGAGCTGTGAGCTGCGCCACGCAGGGAATGAAACGCAGAGACGGCGTGTGCGTGTGTGTGCACGTGTGCACGAGTGTGTGGCCAATTTAGACCCGGCAGCCAGCGGAGGCCCTCTGGGGATGCGTGGGGAACATTTCATCTGGGAATAAGGTTCAGATGAGGGGCAGTGTGTGAGCAAAGGCCCTGGGGCAGAGAGCGAGGTGGTGGGAGTGACCGTGACTCTGGCCCTCCAAGCAGAGCCCAAGAGCTGCTGCCCTGGGCACTGCCAGGCCTCTCCTGAGCCAGAAGTGGGAAAGTCCCTGAGACCTTTTAAATACTTCCCTTTAAAGAGAAAAGAAAAAGAAACTAAAGAGAAAAGCAGAGGAAAGGGAAGGAAAGAAAGAAAAGGAGTGAACGTAATAGATGAATTCCAGGCTTGGCTGAGTAAGTAGATGAAGAGTTAGCGGTTCCATTTCCTGCAGAGGTGGTTGGCATCCCTGGGAGCTGAGTGACCTTCTCAGCATCTGAGCGTCTTTTCTGAGACCTTGGGGGCAGTGACCCAGGGGCTGCAGCATGGGGAGTGTCCTGTCTCTCGGCTCCTTGTGCAGGTGTTGGGGACGGAGGTACGGAGCCTGAGTCGGGCTCGTCCTGGGCCCTTCCCCACACCCCTCTGCACTGGGTCTGGGGAAGGCTGGACCAGCACCAGCAGTTTGGCTGTTTCTGAGTGCCCTCTAAAGCCACAAGTCATGACCTCTGTGACCTTGAGTAACGCAGCCCGTCCCTGGACCATGGTGTCCTCCGTCCTCGTCTGCAGATGTGAGTCACAGCACGCACGTCACTGCAGCCCCGACAGCGTGCCCCTCGCACTGATCCCCCTCCTCCACTTCTGTGGAAACCCAGGGCAAGAATAGTGAGGGTCTGCTGAGAGGGATGGCCGACGTGGTGACCGGGCGGCAGGTGGCAGACACGTATGTGTTCTCATGTCCTAGAGTCTCAAGGGGAGACTGGGGGCCATTCAGAGCAGGGGCGTTTACCGTGACAGCGACCTCTCTCAGGGTCCCCTGCCCAGGACCAGTGGTGAGCAGTTGAGGGGAGTAGCAAGGAGGTTGCTTTTGGAGAAATACGACATCCAGAGCCCTCCGGGGTCTTCAAGGCCAGCTGACCGCTTCCTCTTCACCAGGCTCCGGAGACAGCCCCGACCCGGCATTTCCCATCAGCAACTTGTAGAGCTGGCTAATTGAGTTTCCTAATCAGATTTTGTGGTTTTGTGGTGAATTTGTAACTTGGTCTGTCCCTCCCCCATGCCATCCCCATAGCTTTTTTCAATTTCCCACTTTCTATGAAAACAATAAAAATCAGAGCAGGGAGGACCCGCCCACAAACCTCCCTCCCTAGTCTTCCAGGCCCTCATTTTGGTCCTCGGGACCTCGCCCCACAGTCCTTAGACAGATGCCAAAGTGACTTGTGTCACTGAGTTATAGCAGGCACTTGGTCCCCAGCCAGCTGTCACGTGACATCGTACCGTGAGAATCTTTCCAGAATGATATATGATATCCATTTTAAATGACTGAAACTTTCAGCGGAGGAGACTGCACCTTGTTTAGCTAAGCCAGACTCTCACTGTTTAGACATTTGGATCGTTTCCACCTTCATAATTATAAACAGTGCTGCAATGAATGTATCCATGCCTGCAGGTGTGTCGTTTTAATTTTCTCAAGTTCAAGTCCAAGAAGAACTCTGGATGAAGGACACAAATATTTGTATAGCTTAGTGGTTTTCTTAAAGAGCTCTGCCCTACCACCACCAACATTTCAATCAACCGAGTTTTTGTGTGTGTTACTCTCTTTAAGGTTTTTGCCATAGGATGCACACGCTCACCAGATAGAGACACAGAGAGAGAGAGTGCAAAACCAATCTCCCAGAGGTGTGGCCACATCTCAGTCCCTTCTCCATTCTCCTCTTGGGATGTGGGGTGTGCATGTACATGTGCCTGGTGTGATTTTTCATGTCAGGTCCAGGACTTGAACTGCAGGGCCATCTAGGTGGGCATTTAGGACCTTAACCACCACACCACCTACTGGCACCACACCAGACCAGATTTAGTACAGCTTTGTCCAATTTTGTGTTTGATCCATTTTTTTATATTTTCATTCTACGTTGAAGGGTATACATGGTACCATTCGTTGCTTTTAATTTACCTGTCTATGAAAGCAGTAAAGAGTGAAGAGGTTTTTTTTATTACATTTGTCAATGTCCTTTTTTTTTTTTGTTTACTTGTAATGATTTTTTGAGAAATACTCAAGTTCCCTAGTGGAAGGGGAAAAAAATAGGCCAAGGCTTTAAACAGACAAAAGAGGAGAAAAATACAAGTAACTACCAATTACATAAAAACATTCATAAGAATAAGGTAATCAGATTTAATCGAAAGTCAAATACTTCCGTATCTGCAATAAATGTACTGAAAGTAAAATAAAATTCAGGAAATATAAGGACAGAGGAGAGAGGGGTGTCGGGAAGAGGACAGGGTGGGCAGCACCAGGAAACCCGCCTTCCCACCTGGACAGCAGCTGTCCTGGAGAAAGCCACCTGATGTAACGATCTGAAGCGTGGAGTCTATTCCGAGGCTTACAGTCTCCACGGGGAGGTGTGGACCATATATCAAGGTCAGTTTTGACAGCTTTAGCTCTTCTGGGTAGAGGCTACCCACCCCCACTCCCAGCCCCTTGGCAGGCTAACGTGCAGGTGCTCCTAGAACAGCACACACAATTTGCAGAACCCACTGGACCACAAAGCCCTGGCCTCTGGATCTGAGGGATCTGCGCTCTGTTCATTGCTTCTTACGGAGTCGTGCGGAGGTCCAGCCTTTGTGCCCCCTGCCACTGACTGAAGCAGCTCCCACGAGATTGAAAGGATCAGAACCTATTTTTATCACCTTTTATTACCCACTTTTTGCCTCTTGGGAACAAGACATTTAAATACTTGGATATTCAAAATCAAACACATACACAGGAGAAGATAGAAAGTCACCATGGGGCCAGCAGGTGGCATGGACTTCCACATGACAGACTGTGGTTTGAGCCCTGACTTGAAAATCACATCAGGCGTGTGTGCGTGTGTGTGTGCGTGCGTGCATGCCCAAAATCCCAAGAGGAGAAAGGAGGAGAAGGGATTGTAGCATGATCGTCCCCCAGGGGAAGAAAATTCCCACTTTGCTCTCTCCATGTCTCTCTCTCCAGTGAGTACACATACTCTATGGCAAAACTAACAAACGAACAATGACAGTCACTATGGATGTCTATGGAAAAGCATGGGCTCAGAAAGACCTGAGCAGACCAAAAGTTTACATGTAAGGTTGATGCTTGGGAAGGGGCAGCTTCCACGTGAAGGTGTGGGCAGCCTACAACAATCAAAACAAAGGCAAAAATGACAAATGTATGGGAAGAAGAACAGTCCGATTCCAGAATCATCATGTTATTAGATTAACGTCCAATCTAATTGGACATTAGAATCAAAGCTCTAGTTTTCAGTAACAATAACAACAAAGGAGGCATACCAAAAACTAGAAAGTAAGATGCACTCAGAGGAAAAAAAAAATAAATGAACTAAAACCTTCCCTGAGAAAGACCAGATGACAAACCTACTAGACAAACACTTTAATAACTACCTTAGAGATCCTCAAAGAACTAAAGGAAAAATTTGAAAATTTTTGAAACTAATTTATGAACAAAGTGGCAATAGCAATACAGAGATAGAAAACATAAAAAGAAACCAAAAGGAAATTCTAGAGCTAATTAAAAATTCAATAGAGGAATTTAAAACTAGATTGAGCAGGCAGAAAAAAAGAATCAGGGAACTTAAAGATAAGACAAGTGACATTATCAGGCTTGAGAAATAGAAATAAAAAAGACTGAAGAAAAGTGAATGCAATCTAAGGGATCTTTGGCTGGTTCATCAAATGACCAACATATTCATTGTGGGTGCCCCAGAAGGAAAAGAGAAATAGACGAAATAGTTTTAATTGTAAGAAATAAGGGCTAAGGGACTAGCAGTTAGTGTAATGGCTATGTCTCTGGACTCCCATGTAGTCGACTGCGGTTCGCGTCCCGGACCCGGTGGCTTAAAACTCATGCCGGGCGCGTGTGCGTACGTGCCCAAGATCCTGAGAGGAGAATGGAGGAGAAGGGATTGTGGCGTGGCCATCCCCCCTGGGGGATGATTTCTCTCTTTCTGTCTGTCTGGTGAGTGTATGCGCCCTATAAAAAGAACCTCTCCGAAAAAAAAAAAAAAAAAGAAAGAAGGGCTAAAAAAAAGAGAACAGTCTCCTGAAGTTGATGAAAGACATGAATGTAAATATCTAAAAAGCTCAAAGAATGCTAAGAAAGATAAACACAGAGAGAGCCATACCATGACATATCATCAAACTGTCAAAAGACAAAGAGAGACTCTTGAAGCAGCAAGAGAGAAACGAATCATCATATACAAGCAGTCATCAATTAGGCTAAAAGCAGATTTCTCACCAGGAACCGTGGATGCCAGGATGACTTTAGTAAAGGTAGTTCATAAGAATGTTCCATAGATTTCATATAAACATTTATAGAGAAATTTCTCCCCTTGTGCCTATTGAACATGGTTTTAAACTTTTCCAAAATACATTCACTGCAGCTAAAGGCTATATATGTATATGTAATCGTTTCTATCTGCCTGCCTACCTATTCTCCTTTCTTTGATGGCCTCAATTCCTCATTTCTCTAACTTGTGGAATAAGTTGCTGGAGACTTCTAAACATCCCTTCTGCCCTTCATCTTAGTTTTAGCAAACTCCAAGTTTTAGCTGGTGTGTCGCTTCTCATCTGAAAGACTGTGTTTCCCAGCATCCCTTGCAGCTATATGTGCCATGCTTCTATAATCTGGTCCTTGAGATGTTAGTGGAACCATCTGTGAGACTTCTTAAAGCGCTCTATGAAAGCCCAGCCTTTCTCTCACCCGTCCTTCCCTCCTCCCTGCTGCTTTGTCTGTGGATGTCACTACTGAGACTCACTCATTTGGGTCATATCATGGGACAGTGGGGTGGTAACCAGGAGTCTCGTCTTTGGTGACTTTGTCGTGTTCTGATAATGGACTTGCCTCTGGAGGCCTCTTACATATGAGAGAAAGGAGCTTCTATCTTAGGTCCCCTTTTTGTTGTTGTCATTTTTCCAGGCTCTGCTACTTACAAGCAAACCCAATTCGACTCAATATCGGATATTCTCAATCTTGGTCTCTTCTTCCATAAATTGATGTAGAAAGCCACCCAACTATGTGCACTCACATACATTCACATACACACTAGTTTTTAGATGTTCTTTGTTCAAAAATCATGTCAAGAAATGTTTCTGCTTCTATCTTTTCCGAAAAAAAAAGAGAGAGAGAGAGAGAGAACACAGTAAATGCAGCATTGAGCAAAAACGCATACTATGTATCACTCTCTAATCAGCAAATATGTTTAAAAGACCAATCTCAATATTGGCAGACATAAACTGAATGAGTATGCTGTAACCCTCTTTGTAGGGAAGGAATTAATAGAAACTTTCAGGGCAGCAATTTAACAGCATGTAACAAGAGCTTTAAAAATGTCCCTAATCTTCCACGTAGCAATTCCCTTCTAATTTATGTTAAGGAAGTGGCCACACAGTCAGCCATCCATGTCTGGCAGCGTTCGTGACCATGTTGCAATAACACTGAAAATGCTCAAGGGCTTGGCAGTCAAGAAACAGTTCAGTGAATTACGGTATGTCCACAAACGGAATACCATGCAGTCATTAAAAGTAGTGTGTAAATCGTTTTTGTGACAGGAAACTGCTCCCCGTATAATGTGAAAGAGCAAGCCATAAACTATACGTGTAAAACTATACAGATCACACTTGGGAAAAAACCCAAATGGAAACATTTTAAAATGTTGATATCAGATCTCTGTAGGGGGACACTGCAGGTGACTTTGAGTCAATTTATACATTTTTTTTGTCTTGTTTTCCAGATTATGGTTAATATTTCCGAGTTAAGCATTCTGGGGCAGGGAGGCAAAGTCTGAATGAACGCAATCACAAACGCTGGGTCCTGACAGTGCAGTTGATGCCAGGCACCCCCTGGGGAGCACCTAGCGCGTCCTGGTACCCCACCCCCAGCCACCCCTCAGGCAGTAAGCAAAGAAGCCTGGGTTCCTACCCAGCCCTCTGACTGCAGGGTTCGGTGCTCTGCCACTGCACAGCCGATGGACAAGCCCTGCCTGGTGGGGCAGGAGATGCCCAGTGGTGGATAAAGTGCTTTCAGGCTTCTGGCACTCGGTGGGGAGCAGTGAGGAGGGGGGGGAGGAGAAGAGCTGTGACAATCCTGCTCCCATGCTTGGCCCTTCACATGCACCCATGGCTCCGCATCACGCGTGTTGTCCCTTCCCAGATGGGAACTGCCAGGACCTAGCCCCTCGGTGATCCTTCCCCAGTCGCACGCTCCTTGGCCCCGGTCATCTGTCTGTGTTAGATTATGCCATGCACATGGGGCCCAGCTTACACTGCTGAGGCCCTCTCTGTGGGCTTCACTTCCCCTCGTCTTTCTGCAAAGCCCTTCTGGACCTCCAACATGGGCCAGTCAGGACCTTAGGGGGAAGGGGCCGGCCTCGGTGCTCAGGAATCGGGCCTGCCTCAAGCAGCCTGCCCACAGCGTCTCCACCCTCTGTGGAAGTCCACGCTCACGTGGACAGAACAGGGACTTGGTCTGTTATTATCCAGGGGGAAATAGCCCTCCCCGTGCCCTCGCGGCCAGTGAGACCCTGCAGAGTGAGCGCAGCCCCAGACGGCACTGGCGCGGGGTGGGGGCCTCTGCAGGGAGGCCCGCCGGCCCCACACGCACCATCCGTCTTCCGCTCCGTCTCTTGGCAGCTATATTGTCAGACGGGCAATAAACGTTTCGGAGTGATAGGAGGCAAGGTAATAGAGTCTGGAGGATAAAAGCTCGTCACGGCTTTGAAACGGGCCTGTTCAGATGCCTTTGCACGTGGCTCCTCACACAGGAAAGCAAAACAAGAAGCCAAGCGTGGCTCTGGTTTGCTTCTCCTCTTTTCATTTGATTAGTTTTCTTTTTTCCCCTCAGTTATAAAACCTGAAGCTGAAGCATGAGGCTGTTGAACCCAAACTGCCTGCTCCCATGCAGAAGGGGAGACCGAGAGGCTGGGAGCTTTTGCCTTGGCTATTCCTTTTCTGGCACTTCACCTTCAAAGGTCACCCCCTCAGGGAAGCCCTCCCTGAACACCTGTGTGGCTCTTGTTGGGTTGTTTCTCTGCCTCTCTACCCAGACATTGAGCCTGTGGTGTGAGGGCTGGGTGCAGGACTAGCAGCCACGGCGAATGGCAGCTCGTGGCCTGGGGGTGATCACACCAAGGGAAGTAGGGCCTGAGTGGATTTGTCCAAAAATTCCTCCTGCCTAGAGTTCATTGTGAAGGGTAGGGACCGCTTCTGGTTCCGTCCCCGGGCCTAGAACCTGGGAGGTGCTAGGTAAAGATGTGCTGAGTGATAAACTGAGCGCCAGCATGAGCGGCCTGTGGCGGCCCAGCCCCTCACCTCCCAGAGTCATTCTAACCATCTGAGGCAATGGAGGAAAAACTCCTCCCCATTGCATGGGTGGACAGAGTGCTTCATGGGGGGCCGGGACGAGGGGTGTCCCTAGGCCTCCCTCCCACAGCCAGTACGGAGGGTCCAACATCACCCTGGTTTTGTGATGTGAAAATGGAGGCCCAGGTAAGTCACAGAACTTGTCCAAGGCCACAGAGGCTACAGCCGGAGCCACCTGACTCCGAGAGCTCTTGAGCTCCCGGGAGACCCGGGGGGCAGGGCTTGCCCAGTGCCCCCTCTCCCTGCTGCTCACCCTGCCCCCCGGCCCTGCCCCCTCTCCCTGCTGCTCACCCTGTCCCCGGCCCTGCCCCCAGGACCTGCAGATCATCAGCACAGACGAGAGCCAGGTGTTCGTGGCGGTGCAGGAGTGGTACCAGGTGGACACCTACAACCTGTACCAGTCGGACCCGCGCGGCGTGCACTACGCCCTGGTTCTGGAGGACGTGCGCAGCTCGCGGCAGGCCGAGGAGAGCGTGGTCATCGACATCCTCGAGGTGGGCCCGCGGGCGTGGGGCGGGCTTGTGCTTTCCCTCCCCACTCCACCCCGACACCTACAGAGGGCAGGCTTTGCAGGCCAAGCGGATATGCTGTAGCTACTTTCCGAGGAGAGAAAACTTGCTCTTCTGACGTAATTCAAAAATATAATCATGGAGGGGACCAGCAGTTAGCATAATGGCTATGTCACTGGACTCCCACGTAGTCGACCGCGGTTCGTGTCCCGGACCCGGCGGCTTAAAACTCACGCCGGGCGCGTGAGCGTGCGCG